CTGTAAGCGGATGCATTAGCATATCCAACTTTCAAACGATCAATTTTTACATAAACATAGTTATAAGCTACGATCGCAGTATGCGAAATTTTACGAATACTGCAGCAAAACAAGATTTGAAGACTTGATTTGAGACTGTATAGCCACTTCCTGTTTCTTTCCGAGCGAGAGATATTAACATTGACATGACTTTTACATAAAGAACATGCATATCGTTGTTTCTAAGAGTTTTCATATACTCATCAAGTTTCAAACTCAACTTTAAAGTTATTTTTTTTTTTTATATAAACTTTTTTATTTCAGTGAAATACAGAACAAATCGAGACAATTGTCACATTACATGTTCATAGTTTACTTAATACATGAGTAACTTAATACATGAGTAAAAAGTTATTTTACTCTATGAAATTTATAGGTTTAGTATTTGGTTATGCAGTGCAGATAGAGAAACACGAAATGAATGTCTTCATAATAATGACACGTGTTTTCGTGACTAAGCTTGAGTAGAAAATCTGGTGTTTCGCCATGATCCAAATAATGTACTGTTGCAAAATGGGATAGAAAAGTACGTCACCGTTACTCTTGTTGACTGTTACTTCCACTTTCATTACATGCCATTTCAATATTCTGACTTCTATCAGTACCGTCTCACAACTGATACTCCGATCGAGATATTTAAGAAAAGACTCGTGAAAAAATCGTTAAGCTCACTTTTTTCCATTATTTTCGTTAAAGTTTTTCTTTCCATAGTGGTTTTTGATTGATTTGATCTTAAATAAAATTATTTATAAATTTATTCCTCAAGAATTGTGAAGCTTTTTCGTTAAGCTCACCGATTTGGGCCACTTTGGAATTCAAAATCGATGACTGGTAACAAAGTCGCCCTTTTAAATCGATTACATCTCTAATGAACGCTATCATATCGACACATTCCTGTTAGATTCATATCGTTAAAGTTAACGTAGCTACTAGAGCAGGATAATAATAATGTTGAAGAATTTAATATCATACCAATATTAAAAGTATAATAAAGCAGCGGTTTTAATCATTTTCAATTTCCGACGTTTCGATTTATTTAAAAATTATTGTCAGGGATACATGTAGAGAACAAAAGATTTTCTTTTATACTGAATGGTATAATTTATATTTATATACTGTACGATTTTCTCGCTTCAACTATTTTTCTTTTTACTATCTAACCTTTCTTTTCTAAAAAACAAAATAGAAAGAAAAGAATTTTCATAATTGTGTTCGTCTGTGTGTGTATTTCGAGTCTTTAACTATACTACCTTTTTTCTTTTCTGTCGTTGTTTTCTTCTAGTTATACCTTCTGGAAAACTGATCATCGGAATCAAGTGAGTTGTACAATTTTAATCGTTGACAATGATTTTTAAATACAGTACATCGTTCTTGCGCCATCTGCCTGATGTGAAACATGCTTTTACTGGCGCCGTCTATTCTGATCAAAGCGGATGACATCATTATGTATTAAATTGGTCGAGCTCTTAACAGTGTTGCTTTATTTCAGAGAGAGCAAGTACTCAATTAACAAAACGTGATTTTACAACGAAGTACGTATAAAAGTATGAAACTTCCTAAGCACTTAATAAAAATAAATCGTTTCTCTTTAGCTCGAAGATAGCAATAGGTCAGTTGTCACGAGCGATATACAATCAATTCTGCACAAGCCTAGCATTCATTCCTAAAGGACCAAAAATAAAACAGAAATAATTCTTATCAAAGTTTCAGACCCAACTGCACAATCACATTACAAAAATAAGTAAACACAATCTCAACATCGTTATAAACCTGTTTTCTTATAAATATTCTACATGTTGTGCTTTTTAAAGTTCTTTTTACTGTTAGCTAAACGTTTTTACATAAAATACAAAGGTTGTCGAACGAATTTAAAAATACTCTCTTCAAAAATGCAGCTTTACACGCACCAGCGATCCTAACTTTATTGAAGATTTAGCATATACTGAACATATGACTACATGAATTTCTGAATTGCTGAATTCATATAGAGTGGTGGAACAAATTTTCCATACACCCACTCCTCTTTTTCTGTTGATCATAACTCGGTAACCAAAAAAAGCTTTTGACAAGCGGTTTGCTCCAAAATATTCTCCGCTCTTTTTAGTATATTTGTAGAGAAAAAAAGGTAGAAATATTCAGTGTTGCTCTTTGAAGGCCCATTAGATCGAAAAGTGAACGTTTTCCGGTTAGCACAACTTTTCCATACAGTTGATAAAAATCTTCTTCTACGCTGTATAAGCACTGACAAAATATGAAAACAATACTGCCATACTCTTCAGTGTGACTGCTGAATCTCAGGAATGAGTGTGTGGAAACAAACTTCACATTAAGCCATTCAAACAGCGTCCACAACTGACTAAGATAAATATAGCGTGGAAGTTAAGTGGCCCATGTGACACAAGAATGTGACTCATCTTTTGATGTTTTGGACCCCAAGGCTATTTCTGAAATATCTTTTCTGCACGGGAGGGTTAACATCTTTTGCATTTCTTTGCGTCGTCATGTAGTCAAGTAGTTACTGTACAGGGGTATGAAAAGAGAAATTTAGACATTTTAACTCCAGAGGGGGAACCGGATTTCTGAACATTAAAACCGACTTTCCGCCCATAAAAAAAATTTTTCATCAAAACCTAACGTCATATTCGTCCTAAGCGTCAAAAACTGCGTTTGGTGATGTGTCACTCGCAGTTCAGCAAAATTTTATTTACTCCTAAAAATAACTTGAAATATACGCACACACATATATATATATGAGCACATGAACTTCTCAGTTCCTGAGTTCCTAACTTTAAATATATGTACGTACACATACTTCAAAATGTAGTTATTGTTTTACACTCTCAACATTGGTACAATTGTCCATGACACCCACTTTTGTACGAAGAAAAATAAAATAATAATTCGAACATTGTTTTTTAATTATTTTCCTCTTCTTTCGACAGACTGATGCGCACTTTGATCTGTATCTATCCGTTAAATTAAATTCAACTTTATTTTATCTCTCTTCATTCTTTTTCAGCAGCAGAAAGAAGAGAAGAACAACACCATTGCTGTGTCATTCGAACATACTTTTACTACTTGAAAAGGGCAAAACGACAGCTGTTCAAGTATTTGAATTTGCATTTAATTACCGAACAAGAAGTAGAAAGTATGCGGCGTAATACTTACTTTAGAATTTGTATTTTTTACCTTTGTCTCTTCTAGTACAAGCGCACACTGGCGAATTTTAAATAAACACAATGCAGAAGTCTGCTCCTGCTCTAATATTGCAGTTGACAATACTCTTCTTCTACAAAATAAGTGTTGGAATAAATGGTGCAACAGTAGATCCAAATGCCACACAAGCAATTCTTGTAACAAACACATATTTACAACGTGATGCCTGTTTTACTCCCGAAGATTATCTAATTTATTTTGATCCTGCAGCAACAGATAAACCTGGTCAACATATTAATTAGCAACATGGTAGTGTAACATTATTTCAAGTGCCATTTGTTCCCGGCCTCCTAGGTATAGAACTCGGTGCCATAAGACTTCAATTGGAAAAATGTGCAATTAGACAACCACTTACCATGCGTAGTGATGTAATCACCTATGTCTTAGAAGGTCATGTACGACTTGGTAAGTAAGAGTGGCTGTGTGAATATTAGAGTGAGAGATCTAACAAGTTTTTTCTTTATTTTCTTTTGAAAAGGTTTCGTC